CTCCCATGTCACTAGACACAACATTTGCATAAGGGGCTGCCACCGAAATGAACAATGTGGCATTGCACCCCAATTAAACCATTATTTAAACATGACCACAACAAGAGGACGGTGATGGTTAGAACATCATGTTATACTTCTGCCTGTCTTGCTTATTTACCCAGGGCTGCTCTGAGTCATTTTACACCCTTTAGTGTATACAGTGACGGAGGGAAAACGCTTCTGGGCAACGCTACGAGGATTTCTGAGATCAAAAAGTACATAAATATAAAACAAATAGTTCGGAGATGAGAATTCAGTGCTGGGATGATGAAATCCTTCAAAAGAGAAGGACTATTAGTTTTCTTGGGAGCCAAGAGAGGGTACAATAACAAAAGCATGTAATAAGATAGGAGAAATCATGCACCATCTTTCAAGCTGGAAACCTATATCTCCTTACAGGAGAGTTAGCTCCTGAACTCAATGGGACTTGCTTTTGGGTAGAGTTGTTTTGCATTGCCTAATTACTAAAGAAAGTTCAATTGAAGTAGGAATGACTTTTGGGTAAAGAAATTTACTACAAATTTCACAATTTGTATATCGATCTGGTAGGCTTGGGATGCCAGTTTATTTTTTTCTGAGAAGTATAGAACTCACATGGCTACTTTTACTAAGGCACTCTCCAACCCTCAAAATATGGTAATTTTGTAGATTTGATGAAAGAGATTTTAAATCCACGAAACACAGAAACCACATTTTCTCCTGATAAAACTTTGCTGTTGCTGCCCTAGTAAAAGGCCATATGTGATTTTATAGGCAAATGTGTCTATATGGCTGTACACACAATGCACAAACACCACACACATATCATCAGATGTTGGCCGTTCCCAACAAACACTAGACTGTTATTGCATTTCACATCCTTAACCTAAAAGGTGTCCTTAATTGACCTGCAATAACTTTGCCAACTTTCACCCTCCTGCATCCTTGGCTTTCCTACACCTGGCCCTTCTCCCCTTTTCCTCCCCTTCCTTATATTCCTTCTCCAGTATTATAAGCCCTATGAGGAATGGCTTAAAGAGCTGGGCATGTTTAACCTACAGAAGAGAAGGCTGAGAGGAGACATGATGGCCATGTATAAATATGTGAGGAGAAGTCATAGGGAGAAGGGAGCAAACTTGTTTTCTGCTGCCCTGGAGACTAGGACACGGAACAATGGCTTCAAGCTACAGGAAAGGAGATTCCACCTGAACATTAGAAAGAACTTCCTGATTGTGAGAGCCTTTCAGCAGTGGAACTCTCTGACCCAGAGTGTGGTGGACACTCCTTCTTTGGGGGCTTTTAAACAGAGGCTGGATGGCCATCTGTCAGGGGTGCTTTGAATGCGATTCTTGGCAGTGAGTTGGACTGGATGGCCCACGAGGTCTCTTCCAATTCTATGATTCTATAAATTAGAATAGGAGCCCCCAGTGGTGCCATGAGTTAAAAACCCTTGTGACAGCTGAACTGCTGACCTGAAGGTCGGCGGTTCGAATCTGGGGAGCAGGGTGAGCTCCTGTCTGTCAGCTACAGCTTCCCATAACAGGACATTAGAGAAGCCTCCCACAGGATAGTAAAACATCCAGGCATCCCCTGGGCAACATCCTTGCAGACAGCCAATTCTCTCACACCAGAAGCGACTTGCAGTTTCTCAAGTTGCTCCTGACAAGAAAAAAAAATTGTGCTGAAAGCTTAATGAAGCAAGGTCTGAGGTTTGCTTCTGTAGGTAACCTAAGCTGCCACCTAAGCCGACAGCAGCTGAATACACGTAAAAATTAATTTCTTATCTACCTTTGCAGTGACAGGACTGAATGTGTCTTTCTGCTGAGGGAGATAGCTCTCCTCTGACTCATATAAAGTGCCTTCCCTTAATTTTTCGGAACCTTATCCCTTCTGCTACAACTTACCTCATTCAGCAACATCCCCCAAATGTTTGCCAAGCATATTTGAAGGGTGGGGAGAGGGCTATATAAGGGAGAAGGGAGCAAACAATCACTAGCACTGCCTTAATCTCCCCCTTTCCTAGTGAAGGATCTTCCATTCACATTCTGGAGTCCTTTTGTGAACTCTGAACAACCTTGAAAGAATGACAAGGACACTGAAGCTGCATTGAGTCACCTTTCATGAACTTCTCCCATCTTTTCGATACCAACAGCATTTCCTTTGGACAACCCAGCTTTTTAGTTCTGTGGTGTGGGGGTGGTTACGGTGTTGGAGCCTGGCCCTGAAGATTAGGGTTCAAATCCCCTGCTTGGCCATGGAAACCCACTGGGTGACCTTGGCCAAGTCATAGTCTCTCAGAGGGAGGCAACGACAAGCACTTTTGCCAAGGAAAACCAGTGACAGTATCACCTTAGGCCATGCATGGGCAAACTTGGGCCTTCCAGGTGTTTTGGACTTCAACTCCCACCATCCCTAACAGCCTCAGACCCTTTCCTTTTCCCCTGAGGCTGTTAGGGGCCTGAGGCTGTTAGGAATGGTGGGAGTTGAAATCCAAAACATCTGGAAGGTTAAAGTTTGCCCATGTTTGCCTTAGGCAATGTCGACAACATTTACTGGGTCAAGGGCCCCAAATCCCCAGCTGCTCCACTCCAGCACACCCAAATCACAAGGAGAGAGCAAGACAGCTTTGTGAACTCCCATTTCCCTTGGTTGGTAGTTCCTAATGAGCCCTGCCTTTAGTCAAGAGGGATGATGATCCACATTTGCATAATCCTAGATTCCGCTTCTGGGATGCTAGTACCACCCGAATCAAGGGGACCTAGTTCTGAAGCCACTTTAATCCTCAGGCAATTTCCATATTCAGGTGCTTTGTTAGAAGAGCAGCTATATCCAAAAGGCTCCCAACAGACGTGCCTTTGCTGCAATATCTCTCTGTAATTCGCCCTCCCTATTTCTTCTCTCTCTCTCTCTTGTGTTCTCATAAGGTTTTGAGAAGAAGGGAGATTTTCTCTCTCTTTCTCTCCCTCTCTCGTGCTCTCATAAGGTAGCATTTCTCAAGCTGGGGGTTGAGACCCGGGGGGGGGGGGGGGGGGGGGGTGTCAAGGGGTCACCAAAGACCATCAGAAAACACAGTATTTTCTGTTGGTCATGGGGATTCTGTGTGGGAAGTTTGGCCCAATTCTTTGGTGGAGTTCAGAATGCTCTTTGATTGTAGGCGAACTATAAATCCCAGCAACTACAACTCCCAAATGTCAAGGTCTATTTCCCCTAAACTCCACCAGTGTTCACATTTGAGCATATTGAGTACCCACGACAAATTTGGTCCAGATCCATCATTGTTTGAGTCCACAATGCTCTCTGGATGCAGGTGAACTACAACTCCAAAACTCAAGGTCAATGCTCACCAAAGCCTTCCAGTATTTTCTCTTGGTCATGGGAGTTCTGTATGCCAAATTTGGTTCACTTCCATCGTTGGTGGAATTCAGAATGCTTTTGGATTGTAGGTGAGCTATAAATCCCAGCAACTACAGCTCCCAAATGTAAGGGTCTATTTTCTCTAAACTCCACCTGCGTTCACATTTGAGCATATTGAGTACCCATGCCAAATTTGGTCCAGATCCATCATTGTTTGAGTCCACAGTGCTCTCTGGATGCTGGTGAACTACAACTCCAAAACTCAAGGTCAATGCTCACCAAAGCCTTCCAGTATTTTCTCTTGGTCATGGGAGTCCTGTGTGCCAAGTTTGGTTCACTTCCATCATTGGTGGAGTTCAGAATTCTCTTGGATTGTAGGTGAACTATAAATCCCAGCAACTACAATTCTCAAAAGACAAAATCAATCCCATCTGCATTTAAATTTGGGAATATCGAGTTTTTGTGCCAAATTTGGTCCAGTGCATGAAAATATATCCTGCATATTAGATATTTACATTACGATTCATAACAGTAGCAAAATTAGTTATGAAGTAGCAACAAGAATAATTTTATGTTTGTGGGGTCACCACAACATGAGGAACTGTTGAGAACCACTGTCACAAGGGTTTGAGAGAAGGGGGAAATGTGAAGGAGCGGGGTGGGGTGAAGGAGAAAGAGAGAGGAGGGAGCATTACTGTCCCATAACCTCAGTGAACTGGGGTGACTGTGCAGACCCTCTGAAGGTAGTGCTTCTCCTCTGGGCTTCCAAAAGACTGGGAGAGATGATGCCTGCTGGGCAGCCATGAACCTCAAGTTGGTTTGGGGAAGAAGGGGCTCCTCAATGGAAGGAAGCATAAGACAGTCGCTGACCGGGGAATCCTCTCTCTCCTCTCCCTCCCTCCCTTCGCGGGAAGTCTGTCTGGGGGTCAATCTCAGCTCTGAGGAGCGGCTCCTCTCACCCTTTCGCTCTCGAGGGGTGGCGGGGGCATCCCTCGGGTCCCCAAAAGGCCCGGCAGCTGACCTATATGTGGCTCTTCTCTCTCTGCTCTCCTCACCCCCGACCCCAGCAAAGGGCATCCCAAGCTCTCTTCAGACTTTGCGAAGACAACCTCCCTCCCTCCCCGCAATGCCTACGAGGGAGAGCAAGGGCACAAGAGGAGCAGAGTGGCAAAGAAGTCGGAGGAGGAGACGGGCAAAGGGTCCGGGGTTTCTGCTCGCCACAAGCCAGAGCTATTGTTCACCTGTGTGGCATGGAATTTTGCCGGATTTGTAAGCCGCCTTGAGTCCCCTCGGGGTTGAAATGAAATACATAAATAATAAATAAAGAAGCGGACACCCACGCCCCTCCCGGAGACCTTTGGCCTCGCCCTCGACCCCTCCCCCTGCCCTCCCCTCATTTTCCCTCCCAAACCCCCTGACCCCGGAACCCAAGAGCCCGACGGGTCCAAACGTCGCTCCCAAACCCATCCTTTCTTTCTCGTTTGCCATGGGAGCCCCCCCCCCCTCGCCCTTCCTCGTTTGGTGGGGCCAATGGGGAGTAGGAGGAGGGTGGTTTAGGGACCCCGCATCCYCCCCAGGAGCCCTGCCCCGTCGAAGGGTCCTATAGGGGCCGGACTGAAACTTACCCGCCATGTCCCAGCGCTTGTCGGTGGCGTTGCCGGAGCCCATGCCCGCCTCTCCTTCCCTCCCTCCCTCCCTCCCTCCTTCCTTCCCGGATCAGGGCAGGAAGAGGAGCCCTGGCCCTCGCTTTCGCCCTCCAACGGGGTCCGCTCCGAGGGACATCCTGGGGGCTGCCAAGTGGGGCCCGGAGGGAGGACGGAGGCAGGCGGGCAGGGAAGGAGGGCGGGAGGGAGGGAGGGAGGAGGGCGCAGACTGGCCAGCGCTCCGGGAGGGAAGGAGGGGGGCGTGGAGACAGACAGAGAGAGAGAGGGAGGGAGGGAGGGAGGGGGGCAAAAAGCGAAGGGAGCCCGCACAGCGCCCTGCCTTCCTCCTCCTCCTCCTCCTCCTCCTCCTTATCCTCCCCAGATGTGCTCAGCGCTCCAACTAACTCGCAGGCGCACACCGCCCTCTCCCCCCCCCCCCCCGCCGGAAAACCAACCAGGCAGCCTTGGGGGGGGGGGGGGGATAGAGAGAGAGAGAAAGAGAGAGAGAGAATCATGATCGTGATGTAATGGCGCCTAGTCCAATCATTTAAGTGCTACTTGGACTTCTTTCTTTCTTTCTTTCTTTCTTTCTTTCTTTCTTTCTTTCTTCAGCCTGGGAACTGGGTTGAAGTGGGGCTGCCTCTGGGAAAGCGAGGAGAGGGACCCAGAAGTGTCCTGTCTTCGCCTCTGGGCCCAACCACTCCGACCTGGCTGGTGGGCTTCGGGGAAAGGGTTGTCGGGGCAAGAAAAAAGGGGGTAGAGGAGGAGGAATGAGGCGGCTGGGGTCTCTTCCCTCGGGTGCCAGGGCCCTTGGCGAACTCCGGAAGAGAAAGCTGGCCTGTGCCTGTGTGGCAACCTCCGGGAAGGTGCCTGGATTGTTGACACGCCGGGCACCTGGAGCAGGGAGGCGCCCGACCCGCCCCGGCCCTGGCCCTTCCCTTGCCGCCCTTTGGCTCCCTCGCAGGCAACAGGCAAAGCCTTTCAGCACCTGGACAGCTCCGCGCAGAAGAGGAGGGGGGCCGAGGAGGAGAGCCGTCGAGTAGAGGAATGGGAAAGGGGCCTCAAGCGGCACAGAGCCTCAGTTGCGCCTGGGTCTCTGTTTCTCTGCTGCCCGGCTCCCCAGAGTCGTAGGCTTCTTCAAATCTATATAAATAAAAATGTAATGCTCGTTTGTGGGATTAACAGAACTCAAAAACCAGTGGGCCAACTGACACCAAATTTGGACAGCATACTCCTAACAACCCAATGTATGTCCTTCACTCAAATTTTTTTGATTTTGTCATTTGGGAGTTGTAGTTGTTGGGATTTATAGTTCACCTACAATCAAAGACCACTCTGAACTCCCCCAATTATGGCATTGAACCAAACCTGACACACAGGACTCCCATGATCAACAGAAAACACTAAAAGGGTTTGGTGGGCATTGACATTGAGTTTTGGGAGTTGTAGTTCACCTACATCCAGAGAGCACTGTGGACTCAAACAATGATGGATCTGGACCAAACTTGGCATGAATACTCAATATGCCCAAATATGAACACAGATGGTGTTTGGGGGAAATAGACCTTGACATTTGGGAGTTGTAGTTACTGGGATTTATAGTTCACCTACAATCCAAGAGCATTCTGAATCCCACCAACGAAAGAACTGGGGCAAACTTCCCAACAAGTGACTAAAAACACTGAAAAACACAGCAGAAGAGACATAAAAAGCCAAAAAACAAAAAATACTTTACAATAAATGCGCAAAGCCACATACATATATACACAAACACACATATACATAAACACACACACACACATATACACATATATACAGGGGATGGTTAGTAAATAATAAAAAATAAAAACTTTATTTATACCCCGCCACCATCTCCCCAAGGGGACTCAGGGCGGCTTACATGAGGCCAAGCTCAACAATACAATATAACAGTATAACTAACACAACCATAAAGTAAAACAAAAAATACAATACAATACAAAAACCATTATAAATAACATATCAGCAATAAGACACAACATTAAAAACATAAGGATCCAACACTGTGGGCAGGGCCAATTCTAATAGATTAAAAAAATTAAACACTGGGTGTGACAGCAGTGAAATGAGTCTGAACAGGGGTTTTAGAGGGCAGGGTTGGGTTAATTGCCCCAACAGGTAGAATAAAGTGCTTCAGAGGACATTTTGCAGAGAATTGGTTAGAACAGGGAATTATTAATCTTTCATTCAGGGAAGGCACATTGGAAAACCAAGTTTTCAAGCTCCTCCTAAAGACTGCCTATGTGGGGGCTTGCCTAATATCCTTAGGGAGTGAGTTCCAGAGTCAAAGGGCCACCACAGAGAAGGCCCTCTCCCTCGTCCCCACAAGTCACACCTGCGAAGAAGGCGGGAGCAAGAAAAGGGCCCCTCCAGGCAATCCAAGAGACCGCATGGGTTCATAAATAGAAATGTGGTCTCGCAGGTAGGTGGGTCCCAAACTGTTCAGTGCTTTGTAGGTAAGAACCTGCACCTTGAATTGGGACTGGAAAATAAACGGCATCCAGTGGAGCTCCTTAAACAGGGGGATTGACTGCTCCCTGTAATTCGCTGCAGTTAGTGGTCTGGCTGCCGCCCATTGGACCAATTAAAATTTCCAGGCCATCTTCAAGGGCAGCCCCACATAGAGCGCATTGCAATAATCCAGTCTGGAGGTAACTAAGGCGTGGACCACCATGGCCAGATCCGACTTCACGAGGTACAGTCGTAGCTGGCGCACAAGCTTCAATTGTGCGAAGGCCCTCCCAGCCACTGCTGACACCCGTGCTTCAAGCATCAGCGATGAGTCCAAAAAACACCCAAACTGCAGACCTGTGACTTCAGGGGGAGTGCAACCCCATCTAGCACAGGTTGCCACCCTATACCCCGATCCAGCTTACAATCAACCTGGAGGACCTCTGTCTTGTCAGGATTGATCCTAAGTTTATTCATCCTCATCTAGACAGTCACAGTGGCCAGGCACTCATCCAGCACCCAAGGAGCTTCCTTGGAATTAGGCGTAAAGGAGTAGTAGAGTTGGGCCTCTGCCCTCCTTCCAGAAGTGGCTTATGGTACACCAGAGCAGGGACACCTCTGACCTTAAACCAGGGATGGGCAAACTTTGGCCCTCCAAGTGTTTTGGACTTCAACTCCCACCATTACTAACAACCGGTAGGCTGTTAGGAATGGTGGGAGTTGAAGTCCAAAACACCTGGAGGGCCAAAGTTTGCCCATGTCTGCCTTAAACACTACACAAGTTTGGTAAAATCAGCAAGCAGTTTATTGTAGAATATATGAATGCAAAGCAGTAAATAAAATAGCAAAACAGTAAGGATCCAAGATAAGAAATAGTCCATAAGCTTCAAAGGAAAACAAGATCCATGAGTACATTAACAATCCTTGAAACTAGGCACTTGAATCCATGAAACAAGTCAGCAGGAAAATCTCATAGACAAAACTTAAGCTTCTCAGATCTCATGACCTCTGAGGATGCCTGCCATAGATGCAGGTGAAACGTCAGGACAGAATGCTTCTACAACATGGCCATATAGCCAGAAAAACCTACAGCAACCCATTATGGGCATTCTTGATGGACAGCGATTTAAGATGCAGTCCATAACACCTGGAGGCCTGTAGGTTGTATACCCTAATTCAAGAGTTTGTTTGGTTATTTGAATAGCAGACTTTTAAACCTACGGTATGGTAGTTTCTTTTTTAAAGAGGGACAGTTATTTATAGGAGAAACCTCCTCTGGACTTTTGCCTGTGTGTGTGTGTGTGTGTGTGTTTAAGCACTATCAAGCAATGCCTTATGAATGGCTTAGTGGTTCCAACTTTGCCTACCTGATTTACCCAGTTCTCTATCTGGCTCAGGGCACATTTTTGAGACACCCATCAGCCTGACTGTCTTTCTTATCACTGGGTTAGCTATTATGACTGAGCATGCAGCAGTACTTAATGGAATAGCATACAATGTGCACTTTGGGGTTTTCTGTCTGGAGGCTAGCTCCTTCGTGGTTGTTGTTTTTTAAAAAGAAAGAATTTCACTAACCATCACATTCCCCTATCTCTGCCATAGCTGCATTGTGGTCAGAGAGGATTTTGATGGTTAAACTAGATTGAAGCTTAATCTAGATCTGCTTGTGGATCTGTGGATGAATTTCAGCACATTGGCAAGCATTTGTGACTTGTTTAACAATAGCAGAGGCAGGACAAAACCTCCCCATCCTAAATGATACTGTCAAATTGAAGATAGATTTTTTTGAACTGATAAGCCACTCTTTATTGGAAGCTTCAGAGTAGTGCACAATACATTAAAAACAAGCAAATCCAAACACCTTACAAAGAAAACAGTACAAAAGCAGTGACCATCAACTGTTAATCAGCAAAGTCTTATCTGAAGAAAGCAGGGAAGGGTAGGCACATATTTACCATTAGTAGGAAGGGCATTCCAACCTGTCCTTATGGCAACAGGAACAGATTTATGTCTACAAGGACTGAGAGCTCCATTCAGCTCTGGAACATAAAACCTGAACTAAGAATCCTTTAATTCTAAGTGTGCATATCTTTTACAAAGCAGACTCTGCCAGACTGAAGTCTGCCCACTCCTACTCTAAACCGCAGAGCTTGCTCAGCACTAAATGAGAAGTTTCTGGGCTGGCCAAGAAGGGCACCAGCTAAGCTAAAGGACAATAAGTCATAGGTGGAGATCCTACAGAGTCTTACATTATGCCAACATAGCTGCACTAGAGTTACTGGAGGGCACCATTGTGTCCAATCACGAAACAGGTGTGGACTCGCTTGCTCTGCAACATTTGATCCAACTGTCCACACATCACTAAGGATCACACTTGCAGAGCCTTCAGGGCAGCTCAATGTCTTGCACAATATGTTGTTGAAAACTTTCATGGCTGGAATTACTGAGTTGATGTGAGCTTTCTGAGCTCTATGGCCATATTCCAGAAGCATTCTCTCCTGACGTTTCACACACAACTATGACAGGCATCCTCAGAGGTTGTGAGGTCTGTTGGAAACTAGGCAAGTGAGGTTTATATATCTGTGGAATGTCCAGGGTGGGAGAAAGAACTCTTGTCTGTTGGAGGCAACTGTGCCTTTTCTGTGTTTGCAAGTTCTTTGCAAATGGTGTGAATTCTCTCTCATAAGAGGTTGTGTTCCAGGTGGTCGTAAATACAGTGAGTCTGTGGTGTGCTGTAGCT